TCAAATTTGTTTTGCTTATAACTCTTCCTTTGCATGATTTCGCATTATCCTTAATTTATGGACATGAGTGTAAAAGGGATGGAGGTGGGGCCTACTTTTGCATAGGGGCACAGGACCTCAAGAAGTTTAAGACGTTCCTGTCCAAGGCTACGAGAGTTATCAAATTCCAAACGCCATCAAGTGTTAAGCGAAATGAGAAAAGTGAAAGAGAAATGTGTAATTATTTATGCAATTAAATGTATTTTTCTGCGTGTGCCTATAAAAAATTTAATACATAAAAGAAAGAGAATAGGTTGTTGTCATTTATTCTCAAGTTTTGTTCCACCGGGGAAGTTTTCTTTGAAAATCAGTTAAATTTTCATAATTTGTTTATTTTATGTTTATATTAAAATTAGGTTATTTAATACTTAATTCAAAACATTCGGATTTTTTTTTAAATATATGTCAGTCCGAAAGTTTAACATTTATTTGAAATGTAATCGAAAGAAATTTGTTACAAATAGAAAATTGGCAATATAAATTTGAATGTTTTTCTTTATGTTGTAATTATGAATGTTTATGTATGTTTTACTAAATATTTAGTAAGTGAAATTTGAAATTAAGATCAAATTTAGATAGTTATTTGAAATTTTGTTTAAAAATTGTGGTCCGCCAGCGGCTTTCAGATCATTCCCGCATGCAATTTGAATTAGAGACCAATGCCATAAAACACCCGAGCTCCAGCAGCACTAACCACTATACCGATAAGACGACCAATTCATTTACTGTGTAATATCTGTTAGATTCCAGTATTACAGTTTTGGGTATTTTTCTGTTATCGGGACCGGATTCAGAAATGCATGTATGTGTGTTTGTACACATACATACATATATACATACAACGTACATGCATACATACATTTCTAAATCCGTTTCGGATAACAGAAAAGTATATAATTTTGTTTTGTATTATTTAATGCTATTCTTTCTGTCCTTCAGATTTCAGTGTCATGTGTATTGTACAATTATTTGCCATCTTATCTGATCATGTATTTATTCACTCTACATTATCTGTGAGATTACTGCTGCAATTTTGTATTGTGAAATTTTGGGTACCTTTCCCTGCTATCAAACTGAATTATGTGGTATACACACATTCCTAAATTTACTTCTTGTGTGTTTATCGTATCACAGCAAGTTCCTTATTTAATTCATCTGTTTGTGCCTTTATAAGTGCAGTCAAAAGTCGTTAATCCGGACTCGTTGGGACTTCGGCGATTCCGAATTATCGGTTTTTCCGGATTATAGATCATCAGTTTAAATCTGGTAAGATGGCATGCAGAAATTACAAAATCAAAAATATGAAACCGTAATTTATGAAATAAAGAACAATTATGATCTAAAGGGTATCAAAATTTACAAAAAAAAAAAAAAAAAAAAAAAAAGCTTAATATTTATTTGTTTACTTTATTAAACATTTCTTTCAATGTAAGTTGTTTAAGTTGCTTCGTTTTATGTGATAATACTTTCTCTTTAATTCTATAAACAGACATAATTTCTTGTTCAGTTAGTTACAAAGTTCCGCTGTTCAAGTCATATAACTGCTGTGTCGAGAATACCGACTAATTTCAATCGAAATTTTTTCGTTTTCAATAACCTCTGTGTCACTTTCTTCACTATCGGAAGCGAATTATAATGACAAGGAACTTGATTTAAATCATATCAAAGACGGAGTACATCGAGATGAAATACTACATTTAGTAAGGAATTATAAGCCAAATAAAATTTAAAAAATCTGCCCTGAAGATAAGGATAGTGCTGACAGATCAACTTCCAATTCATTGCACGCCGCGGCGTCCCCCCCCCCCCGCCGCAGAGCAGCGTGAAATTGATAAACAGATTTCGGATTTCGAAAAATACTTTCGCTTTGTAAATCCTTTACATATTAGTAAATATATATCGGAAATTCTATTTGACATAATCGAAAGTTCAAGCTTACTTTTTATAAAATTGCTCTCACAGTCTGCAAAAAATAATAAGCCGGATCCAATTCGAAGTTTAAGGAACAACGCAATCTGCAACATTAACTGAATTAGATAATTTTAGCTTAGCTTATACCGTCGGTTATACATTAAACGCGCATGCCTAAACTTATTATGCGCATGCGCACACGCATATTCGCAGTCGTAAAGATCTTACGCGCACGTGTAAACACCTATGCGCATGCGTCAATGCGACGCATGCGCAGAAAGTTTGTAGCTTTGAGGTTCCGATTATAGATCATTCCGGATTATGGGTGTCCGAATTAACGACTTTTGACTGTATAATGTCTTCACTCTTTTTAACGTAATGTCAGGTTTAAAATGTAATCACTTTTCTGTCTTATTCACAGAGTTTTATTTTATAATTGTATTTTGTTATACACACTTTTCTGCTTTTAATTATCTGAATATATTACAACTGCACCACTGTGTATTTATGTAATTGTATTGCTACATACTAATTTATTTTATGTAACTGTTTTATGATATTTATTTCTTTTGCTCTTGTAATTCATCTTTTCAATCATGAGTTGTTAATAATTTGCCACAATCTGGTTCTTTCGCTTCCTTTATATTTGACACTTTGAGTTTTTATGTATTCGCAAAGGCTTCCAGGCATGTGCATCCTAAGCATAGTGTTATACACAGTTAACAGTCGGACTTTTCGGCCGATATGCTAACGCCCCAGTGGATCGGCAGCTCCGTGGTTGACGAAAAGAAAGCTCTGATATATAGAATTGTCATACGTAACATGACTGTGTAGTAGAAGACCGTGTAATGATCATGTATGCCGTTTCGCAGAACAATTATTAAGGAAATGACTCTGATGTTTCGGCCATTCAATATATGTCCATGATTTTATAAAAGTTTAATATACATTATGGAAGTTTGATAGTGATGCAACTAATGTTTTTTTTTTTTTTTTTTTTTTTTTTTTTTTTTTTTTGTGTGTGTGTGTGTGTGTATGTGTGTCTCTGCTTTGAAATAATTATTCATGATACTTTGTCTTTTTTTATCGAAAAGTTATTAGTTTGCTTAAAAGTTAAAAAATGAGAAATTTTATTTTTGAGAATTTTCATTTTAACGTAATAGAAGTGTTACCGATATGAAAATATGGAGACAAATTTCTGAAAAAGTACTTACGCTGACATTTAGTTCTTTTTTTTTTCTTGTAAAATATGACTACAGAGATCATATTTCACTCGAACGTCATTTTTTTTAGAAATCACTTATGACTTATGCTATTGTAAATGCTCAAATAGGATATTATGAGAAGACAATCAGGCATACTGATGTATAAGAAGAAATGACAAAAGTCCTTCAATCATTGTTATTCTCCGCATTCAGCGCATGAAACAAGACATGATAAGTAAATAAACTTTAAATTATGCTTTTCGAAAATTTTAAAGTATAATTTGCTTATACAGTGAAAATTCGGCTTACGAATGCCTCTCCTCATGAACAAAGAAGTTCACCAACAAATTTCCTGAATACAAATGTCTCAGGTAACGAGAGTAACGTTGTTTTGAGTAGCGAACATATAAAGTGGCAACATATGATTTTCAGAGGTGTTTGAATGAACACTCAGGACTTCTAAAAACATCATTATAATATTCTTCAGTGTTAACTCTCACTCAGAAAGCTTGGTAATAAGCTTACAAGATCATGTGTTCAGCCTGGAAGAAACTATAGCCAGTTTGTATATTAGGTTTTGGCACTAAAGATACTTTGTTGTTTGTGATACTGAGTCTCAGGGTCAGACCATGGGCCTGTAAGTTAGCAATGAAGACGTGGAGGATTTATTAGGGGACCGTAAAAAATGAGCTCAGCGCAGAAGAAATGGAACAGCTTCAGAAGAACAAAAAAAAAAAAAAAAAAAAAAAAAAAAATTTTAGAAGATGATCCTTTGATTTGTGAAATTAGGGCAACGTGAGATAAGGTGCAGAGTTTCATGGAATGATATCATACTAATATAAAAGTAACAAGCCTCAGCAAAAGAGTTTCCAATGATAATTCCATGTCTCAGCTTAAATGTACTTTTAAAATGTTAAAGGCAATCATTCTTGATAAATTTTTAATGAGATTGAAATCGTCCGAACCTCAAGCAAAACTGAGAGGCGCAAAGAGACAGAATAGGAAAAAAATGAAGGATCTCTAAAAAGTTACATGCTATTTCTACAAAAATTTTGTGATCCATCCAAACAATGACATCTCTGCCTTTTTCCTTCTTCAGTATCTTCTACTTAATACCAATGATTCTCCTTCGTGCAGGTACAGTAAAATTAAATCATGTTTCTAACTATTTTATCTGTTTATTGTGTTTATCTTTTTTATCGTCGTTCTAATATTTTCATAGATTTTACATTAGAAGCTTATGCACAAAATTCTACTGTAAAAACTTAAATAAGCAACCATCTGTAGTCCAGAAATATATTAATCTATTTTACATTAATTCCTATGTTTAAAATAGTTTCAGTTTACGAAGATTTCAGGTAACGAACAGTTTTCAGAAGCGAAATGCGTTTGTAAACTAAGATTTCACAGTATAACAAATTTTAAGAAAATTAAAAATTTACTATTTCGACAAAATAAATAAATATAGGCTCCAAATAAAATAAAGAAATACGATTTATATTGAATTATATATGAATGTTTGACAACCAAAGAAGTCCAATCTCCGTATTGATGCCAAAGCTATAGCATTTTAAATTTTCTTTTAGCGAAACTGTCTTTTACTATTTTACGTTTGATCGTGAAAATAAAGATTTGCTTCAGAAATTCATATCACGCTTGTCTCTCACGTTCGAAATGCATAACTACGTCCTTAGCCGTGAGTTTTCTGCAACTATCTTGACCGAGTTTCCTCCCCTCCCCTTTCCTCCGAACCGGCATCGAAGCTCAGCCGGCAGCCGCTGGGTGGAGCCACAAGCGATTCACTGCCGCGTTCTCCTCTAACCGTGAGCGATCTTTTAATTCGTTTTCAGATCGAATCCGTGGAGCAACGCACGAAGGCTGTAGAGGTATCTTCTTGTAGAAGAGGCTCGACCATGACGGCGGAAAACAACGGAAGGATGAACAGGATTCCTACTAGCCCTCCTGGATCCCCAGTTAAGGAACCCCAAAAGTATCGAGAACGTGAGAAATGGGGTAACAAGATCGAATTTGTTTTATCTTGCGTGGGTTTCTGCATCGGACTCGGAAACGTCTGGAGGTTCCCCTACCTATGTTACAAAAATGGGGGAGGTAAGTGGGAATCGAATGTTACTGTGTGTTCCATACTATTGTTTTATTGATGTTATTATCAGTGTTTAAATTGAGCCGAACAAAGAATTTCCTTAAATTGAAACAAAGTTTTGTATTTCGAGTGGTTTGTTTTTCAAAATGGTTAAAATTTCAGGAGTGAAAACATAATATTTCTTATTTAGATGATAATGATCTCTATTATGTCGATGAAATTTGCGCGCGAAAACTTTGTTGTGATTAATTCACTGACCAAGAATTTTTTTAGTTTTTGCATGAACCCATATTAAGAAAATTAATGATATAAACTGTTTAAGGAAACATTGAATTTGTTGCCGAAGAAAGTCAAAGAGTATTGACTTCTAGAGCAGTGTTTTTCAGCCGCCTGTCCGCAAACGCTATTCACCGGTACTTCAATAGTAAGTTCCGCAGTTTTATATATGTACAGATTATACCAATAGTCCAAATTACTAACCTTACCGGTCCGCGATAAAACACTGAAATATTTTACCGATCCTACGAGTAAATTGGGTTGAGAAATACTGTTCTAGAGTGTCAGAAAAGAACATTATTGACTGCTTCAGATTAAATACCATTATTTTCTGCTTTATTAGAGTAAACCTGAATGTTTTGAAAATCAAAGCAAATAACAGCGTTTAGAAAGAAATATTTGGCTTAATATTTTAAATTGTCAGTAATATTTTAGATATATACGTTTAACACATTAAATCAGTTTAATCTATTACTCATATAATTTATTTTCGGTATTAAGTTTAAAAACCAGATGTAAAATATATCGGATTTGTACCTGAAATACCGAACTGCACTCGCGTAAAATGAATTCTTGTGGAAAACGTTGGCGCGATCTGTATATGCGTTTCAGTGGAAACGAACAAATTTCAGAAAAATCACCTCTTGCACACTCTTTACTGTCTAGTCAAAGATCCTTTAGATCACCCCCACCCCCTTTGAACGACATTTTAAAATCCTCACTTCTGTACATTAATTTAGTTTATTGTCTTTTGCATGCAACTTGTACGGTGTTGTTAATCTTATGTGGATGAAATGAATAAATCTTAATATCAGGATTTCCATTACCTTTCAGCATTTGCCACTACTAAATGAACAAGTTATCCATCTTCTACAAATTCATTAGAGCTGACTTTAATTAAAGTAGTCTTCAGTGTAATATTTTACGTTTACTAACACTGAAAACGTTAAAAAGAATATCTATCGTCTAGGAATTCAGTAATAAAGCTGCAAAGTTGTTGGCAGACAAAATACTGCGAGCCATATGTTTGTGATTCTGTAAGTCATTCGCGTTTTTAAAATTAAGATATGGTGTAATTTCAACTGTCTTTAAATAATTCTGTATGAAAAAATACGTATTGATAACATTTATGTTCTTGGATCTCTTTTTCCCTTACAAACTCAAAAGAAATATTTAATATTTTTTTCAATTTATTTTATAAAGCTATTTGTTGAACAGATCGGGAAAAGAGACAATCATAAAATGATATTTTAAGCTAAAAGGAATATTACCTTTTAATTGTACTTAATTCTATAAATTTGATGGCCACTATTATGGATTAACCATACTCAGCGAACTGAACCCCTGAACAGTAATTAGGCCGTACCCTGTGTTCGCTATGTGATGTCGCATAGGCACTCCCGATTTGCGCTTGGTTAGGATCCAAATCATCAAATAATTTTTTCTATAAAGGAAGGAAAAGAATAACATTTTTAGTAGAAGTTATTAACGCGGCTAATTGGAAATGTTGAACAGCAGTTTCCATAACTAGTGCCGGCCAAATGTGCCGCAATACCATTTTTAAAATCTTGTTCTAAAAATCTATCGTTTTCTCAGTTTGATTAGAAAATTCGGGCTAAAGTGCAGAATCGCTCACTTATTTGATTGGCGTTTGTTTGGCGCTTTTTACAAGAGTAAGAATAAGAATTGGATTTTTGTCAATTTTCTTTGACTTTTTAAGTGAAAATAGGTCAATGTGTACATGGATAAAGTCAAGGGAGTGCGCAATGCCATTTTGTGCAATTATCGGATGTTTTTTTTAAGTGAAAATAGGTCGATGTGTACATGGACACCGAGTATATGCAATTCTTAAAAACGCGCCAAGCAGTGGGCGATTCTGCACTCTAGTGTTGAACCCTTCGATTGATGGCAAATTTTTGTTCAATTTTGCCGATAAAACCCCATTTCTGGTGACCATGATAATTTTTAGCTTCCATTGCCGTCTCCTTAGGGTTACCGTAACTTTATTGGAACCTTATATGACGTCATCATTTTCCTGATTGTTTTTTTTTTTTTTCCCCGAAGTGGAAATAGATCGATGTGAACATGGACAAAGTCAGGGCAGTGCACAGTGCCGAGTTTGTGCAATTCTCTGATGTTTTTTTAAGTGAAAATAGATCGGAGTGTACGTGGACACCGAGTTTGGCAATTCTTTGACCTTTTTATTTTGGTTTTGTGAAATTGAGCTGCAATATTTATTTAAAATCTTCCAAAAAAACAACCACACACACACACACACACACACACACACACACAAAAAAAAAAAAAAAAAAAAAAAAAAAAAAACACTTTAGGTATCATACATTTTTGACTTTGCAAATTCAGACAAATCTCTGTCGAGTTAGTGAGCGAATTGACGTTTTATTTAAAACCTACGCCAAACTGAGATCTCCTGCCTCAGTTTTACATTGGCATATTTTTCTTCCGTGAAGCGTTATATCTATGTTTCATATATATAGTAGCAATAGTCAATAGAGTCCAATATGTTCTGTAAGCTCTTGAGAATTTGGATGTATTCTGTACTAATACAAATTGACGCTAATGCACTTTTCATGACCATTTCATGAAAGTCTAATAATTTTAATTAGTATTGTCGTTATCGAAGAGATAGTCTCAATCTTGTTGTTTGCAGTAAAAGAAACAAAATAATCTTGATCAGTTGTACGAGTATAGTCAGAAATACTGATCTCGGGAAACGAACGCCAAGACCAGAGAGGAGATTCAGAGAAGGTTAAAAATCTTAAGACATCTGAATTTCCAGAAGTAAGTAAAAAATGTGTAACTGGTATAAAGACATATGTCGCAAATGTCACTCAAGAGCGAGGCGATTACGATAGTGATGAACGATATCTTGACATTCTAATGTAATAAGAACATAAAAAATACATTGAGGTTATTATTATTATTATTATTATTTTTTTTTGAGTTTTTAAAATTGTTACTATTTAACTTTTAATCGGAATTTAAATTCAGAAATTCTGTTATTAGCAAATCGTAAGAAATGTTGCCAACATATTGATTTTCTAAATTAAAGGACGGAAGCAAAAGAATTTTAAAAAGATCTAACTAAAGATACAATAATCGCGATAATCGAAATATGTTTCTCTTACCCGATGATTTGGCGAATAGTGAAAGTTCTTTGGGGATTGTATCACTTAGTGATATAAAATGGTATAGTATCAGATAGATGGTTTATTTTTTAGCTTTGGAAGGTATTTAAAAAGCAACAGAAAAAGTGTCGCATAAGTTTTTAAAAATTTGTAATTTCTTTCCTTTACCCCTTTCGCCTTTCTTGTTTTGTTTGTTTTCTTTTTGGTATCCCCCAAAAGCAATGAAATTTTACTTAAGATAGGTATAAATCCTTGGAAAGCAGTTTTGTTAAACGTAAACACTTATGCCTTTCAAAGAACCATGGAAGAGAAATTGGTTTGTATTAACGCTACTCATGGGAAAAACCCCATGCAGCCAGCCAGCCAGCCCTTGCCCTGGTAAGAGAACTTGGGAGATGCATTATCAGTCTTCAGTGGTTTACCTTTTCGACGATTAAAATGTTGTGAAGAAAAGAATAGTTCAGGAAACCTACTGAATTTTCTGTAAAAAGTAATTAAATGAAAAAATTATAAAATTAATTATAATTAAAATAAAAATTAAATATACATGAGCTTCCAGTGTTATGTCCCTTTTATGTTCATTTAGATTTTAATGATTAATAATCGATTTAGAACTGAACAAAAAAGCAACGGTACTGTTCTGTTATTAAGGCCAAGGCAACTTCAGATTAACATAGATTTTAAAGAAAAAAATTCTGTCGACCTCGAGGGCGATCAAACACAGATTCTTCTAATTTACCCATGCATATTAATGCATAGGCTGAATGAAAATTTTAAAGACTTATTCTGAATCGGATGATTCTACGAAGTTTACTGTTTTTCTTTTTCAAGTTTAAGACCTTTACGTCCGGCCTTTTCATGTTATACTAACGATATAAAATCATGAAATAAAACTGTTTTATGGCATTCTGTTTAGAACTGCGGCTTTCCATTACCTGAAGAGAACTTCTTCCCACAAAATTGCCTTTTCAATGCTGAAAACGCCAAGGAACATCATAACGCTGAGTCTAGGCTATATGCAGTATGCTTTAGTAAGTTAGGATGTATTTTAGGCAGCGTTGCCAGTGCCACAGCAGCACTATGTGACTGAGCTTATTTATTTATGACTGGGCTATTTACTGGGCAATTAATTATCAGTTCCAAAAGTAAATCCTGTCTTTTCCCACTCATGTCTCAGCGCAAATGGTTTTCAAGATATTTGCGTAACAGTCACTTTATAGTGACATATAAATGGCGAAGTTTTGACAGTGAGTTGATAACCTGCCAGAACGAGCTTTGTCGATCACTTGCATGCTACCATCTTGTCCACAATTGAAATGATGAAGCACGGCTGAGTGTTGTACGATTTCAAAGTGCTTAGGTATAAATCTTCTCAAGCTCAACGTAGAATTCAATCATAGTGGTCTTTCTCATTTGCAATGACAGGATGTGTTAGTACTTCCACTCAATGTAATAAAACGCTGAAGGCTATAGCTATCCAAATGTATGTTCAGACACGTTGAATATATAACCATCACAAAATTTAGTACAGAACTGCCACATCTAATATTGGGAAAGAGCAATAGATGCAGTCTTAAAACATT